CGAAAGAAAGCTTCAATTATGCAAACAGTTATCTAAAGGACTTTAAAATACAACTTCACTCGAGTCCCAAATATAGGCTCACTCATAAAGATTTTAAGATGGCTAGAATTTTTCTTGCAATTAATAAAGAATCAACGTTTGCTATTTGTGTTTCAATTGCATTAAGAAACGATGCCTCTGGTAAAAAAATCACCTTAATTTGAATGATGGTAATATTAACATATTTAACCTTTTCGACGTATCTGATAAAACTATATAAGTCTCTCGTATTACTATTTCAACTTCGAGTATGGACTATGACAGCTCGCGATAGCTTTAGGTAGATAACTGGCTTTTTCTTAGGCAGTATATAGAGTGGGCGAATGAAGAATGAGAAGTTGCGATATTTAATTAGCTGACCAAAACTTGTTATGCCCGATATTTAAATTTCCAGAAATTAACTACTTATATCGTTTCAAAATATTATTCTTTCTTACGTTTTCAGCCCAATTGCACGCCTGGATAAGCTAAACAAACATTAAATGTTCTTTGTACAGTCATATCATACTTATTACGGCAAAGGAAAATAAAAGATTTGATCAAGCTACGAACAAGACAGTAAGGAATGTAAACAAACTCTAAACGGTATGAGAGTTCGGACATTCCTCAAGAAAAGTATACATCAATCAGCTATATAACTTAAATATTCAGGTAATTAGTTTGTACAATTTTGATCCGAAAATACCGCTAGTCTTTTTATGTAAGGCTATGTGCAGACCTCGAATGTCAAAATATAGGATGAATTATTAAGGACAGACGTTATAAGCACTTTAAAGTGAAGTGCTTCGTTCCAAAACCGATCAGTAAAATAAATTGAGACATGGGGTTAATAAATGAAGTGTAATTTGATTAAATATGTAGGCAAAATATAGAAAGCCTAAAATAATTATAGGTCGTAAAGTATACCACATAGCTATAGTAAATTCATAATTAAAATATATAACTCGCCTACTTTCCAAGCCCCAAACATTAAAGGGGGGCAGAAATCCACAGGACTATAATTGATGTAATAAGAAGCCATTTACAATTATTTCTTAAAGAAATGAATTAAAGCATGTAAAATTCAATTGGTTCTTCATATATAAAATGATATACACCTCAAAGTTAGAATGCCTAACTATAGTTTCGAATTCTTAAGATGCAAGCCATATCATTTAGTTTTGATTGAAGATGCATTAACAGTGAAAGTTTCAAATTAAGGATTAAAAAAACTGCAAATTATTATTTATTTGAAATAACAGCTTGCGAGAAGCATAAAGGAAAAATGTTATCATGAATTAATTAATATATAGTGGTAGATCAAGAATATTATGCGAATTTCAGCAGTAAAATCAAATAATGTATAAATAGAGAACCTTGAAAAATATCCTATAGCGTTGTGTTTTGAGCAGCGTAAAAATTAGAGTAAGAATTCCACCCAAATTTGAGTTGAAAATAATGATATAAGCATAAAATAATCATGATGATGAGAATCAGATAAGGTCGAAAATGCACTCCATAATAAATTAGAGGGCCTTATAGAGGCCAGTTTAAGTCCAGTTCAATTGAATCTTAAGATGTTCCATTCATTATATTCTAGAGAAACGCATATATAAGGCCTTTCCTCACCTTCATCAAAATAAGGAGAATCAAGTTTTGAGAAATTTCTGCCAATGAACTCAGGATATACTCTTTATGTAAACAAAATTGAAGCTTACTATTTTAGTTGAAGTTCTAAATTATATAATAAATTATTTGCTCAAGTACAGCTTTCAACTCTCAAAACAGAACTATTGCTGTGTAGATGCCAGCATAAAAGGAAAGATTACTTTGAAGTGGATTTTTAAATTTAATTTTAATATTTTGATAGCTCAACAAGCTTCCTTTTTATTCTGGTCCTGGATTTACCTTACGAACATTTTAAACATATGAGATACAATTTGCGCATTTCTAAACAATACAAAATTCTAAACATGCTAACAAATTATCAAAAAGGATGAGACATTTCTTCAGAGGTACTTTGCAGTTAAGGTCAGATTATGAAAAATATAATTCGGTGCATATAAAATAGAATAAATAATATAAACAGTTTTGATAAATAAAAATACTATAAACTTTGTATCAATAATCAAATCTATTGAGTTTTTCAAGGAAAAACGTGAAAAATGGTGTTGGTTTGCGTATTAATGCACATAAAATCTGCCTACCTTGACAAACTCGGCCAAACTAGACAGGGAATTGACGACTTCGGCAGAAGCAAGCATCTCCAATACACTGCGGCAATATCCGATGATTTTCCTAACCTCGGACATATCGACGGTAAGTAAAACCGAAGAAGTTCCCTGTAGAATGCCTAAAGTTAATACAATAATTAATAATACAGTCAAATAGTTGAAATACAACTAATCGCAACAGAAAAGACCTAGTTGGTGGAGGAAATGTCATTTTCTATATAATCTAGCACATATACATGCGCTCATTTTGGGATAGTCAGATACGAATATGCAATTTCACAAAATGATGCAAATTAGCGCGTGTAATAAATAGGTTTACAAATTAAATAAAACAATTAAGCATAGATAAAATCGCTTAATTACCCCTTGATCCATCGATGAGTTTTTTCTTTGCAATAGCGGAAGTAGAATCAGCGTTAAATAACCGAACGGCTTCTTGTAAGAGAATGCAAGCATCTTCAACTCGCACAAGTGAAGGTGGCATATCTTGGCGAAGAATTTCATCTGGACTGACTGAGATAGTCTCATAACCGACCTAAAAATAAATAGGCTAGTTATGATGTACACATTTTATAAAATGATAATGCGTATG